GGTTTAACAATGAGTCATAAATCAACCTTAAGAAATTCACTCTGTTGCCTCTAAAACCTCTTGGTCACGTTCTGAAGTCCCCACAGTTGTACAAAAGCATCTGTTGTTTTTATAGCAGGGACTGCAATTAGGATAATGAGGCCAAAAGGGTTAAGCATTAGCCAAAAAGCATGGCCAGGCAAGAACAGGCTCCATTTGTACCCCTGGAGGGGCCAAGGCACAGGGTAGGGTTATATGACCAACTCTCCCACTCTGTCCCGGTGATCAACACACTGCTCTGGACAAACACTCCACTTTGAAGTACAGGAACAAAGCAATACAAAGGTAAATGCTAACGATCCACTGTTGTGGGAATAAACATGTATGTGTCAAAGTCTGAACACACAAGAAAATACCAACTGCTGTTTAAAGAAACTGCAAGGCGATCACTGTGATCAATAAAGTGCTTTTTTCTTGCCTCATTTTGAAGCGGAAAACTCTTTTTAGGTTGTCAACACATCATATTCAGGGATTAATGGAGATGTTGTAAAGCAAAAGCAGTCAGTGAATCACTGGGGATGGTGTTTCGGTAAAACATGATTTTAGCACAAATGTCCAAATATACTCCATCAGACAACCTCAGCATTGATTCAGCTCCTAGGAACGAAGGCCTGGCTCTATTTCTTTGCATGCACTCAAAAGAATGTAAAAAGAGGAGTCTTGCTGAAAAAGAGCATTGTGGGTATCCGTGCCACTTGCCATTTTAAATCAGAGGAATTTAAATGGGAAATGCTTGAAGAGAGGGGAGGGGGAGCAGAGCTGGAATTCTAGCACGTTACACCAACGGCTCCGGGATGTACATTTCTGGAAATGAATACAGACGCCAATCCCTAATAATAATAAAACAACAACTATTTCAGCTGTCAAAGTGCATTACTTCATTCTGAGGCATGCTCCTTTTCCTTTGCTCACGGGATACATTTTAACAAAGTAGCCACATTGTCAAGAAATACAACTATATCCGCAAAAAACACTCCATTACACTGTCAGGTTTCATTTGAGATTCAACAGCAATCACTATAACATGTAGATAAGCTATAACCACTTTTCTTCTTTACAGTAGGCTACTTTTCATAATTGCTTATAACGTATTTTAACAGAGAGGCAATTAACTCTCCGGGGGACAGAGACACGCTGCAGCAATCTACATAAATATTCTAAACTAAATTTAACCGAGTAAGAGCTCGGTTAGTCTGCGTCTGTATCGCCCAACTTTCAGACAATAAACGGTTGAGCTATTGTGAACTCTCATATGAGGCTACGTCATTGCAAATTTGAACTATTTTAGCTAGAATAATTAATTCAAATATGCGTACTAGCTAGGCAGATAGCTAGCCAGCGAGCGAATAAATAACCAGAGATTACGGGGCACGTGCTAGACCTACTTTATCGTGAATGTTATGGTACATTAATGGCAATATTTTCGAACTGCACGCCATGTAAAGTGCATGTTGGAAAGCTAGCAGCTCGACTGAACTCGTAACTCAACACATAGCATGGGCACCGAACAAGAAGCAGCTAAACTGTCCGGTGTAACTCCGCTCTGTAATTATATTACCTGCAGTCCTGCCAAGACCGCGAGCAGAAACAGACCGCTGCCCTCGTGTAGTGAGTACATTGGTGCGTCCGCGACTGTTTAATCTCCCCCTTCGGAAATCCGTGTGGCCACAAATAAAAAAGAAATAAGGGAAAAATAAAGGAATATCCGTCTGGATCAAGTGTAGCCGCGTTGAAAAAAAAGGTCCCTCTACGACAAAGGCAGGAGCGGTGGCGGCAGCATGTAGCAGCCTCCTCCTCTATCTATCCAGTCAGCACTGAGGGAGAGCGGTGCCTGGTACTGAGGCTGCTGCTCCCTCCCATCCAGTCCGACACAAACACAAAAAGAGCCCCAGCCACTAGACTACACACCGCCCATCTCACTGTCTCTCCCTACCGGTCACACAGCCAATTTCACTGCTGGGACTGAGCCGGGTCCCCTATGTTAAGGTCCATCATCCCAAATGACAGAGTATTATAAAACGTTTACACAAAATAGTTATGTTCATTCACCATGTGTGTGGTAGAGTTTCGAGTTTATGGTGGTCTTGTCTTACATTACGGTCGGCGTATATCATTTATGTATTTCCTTTCCATTTAATATTTTCTAGCCTATTATTTTGGATTTGTAAAGTAGTCAATCTAGGTAATAAAGTATTGTATATGAGCATGTTCAAGTTTCATGGTGGTCTTATCTTACATTATGGTAATCGTTTTTCTGTGTTTTTTATATTTATTTTCCAGCCTGGCATTTTGTATTTGTAATGTAGTTTTTTTTAAGGTAATCAGGTAATGTCTATGAGTATTTGTTGTAATGTTTATAGGGTATGTTATATGTATTTAATGTATTACTGTTGGCCTAAATTGGTAGATGTGTGCAAAACTGCTGATAAGGCTTTAATATCCTTACTTAAACTGCATAACCAACCAAACTAAAATATGGCTCCTATTGATATGACTGAACTGCCCTTCCAGTCCAAATTAAATTAATGAAAGACCACGTCCCTCTATTTCAGATTACAACATCAATAGTTTTCAACATTTAAAGGTTAGTTTTAGGTCACTATTTATTTGCCTATTATCTCATTCACTACTCTTGCACATTATATTTAAATGAGACTGAGATAGAAATGCAAAGAAAGACAAATCAGAAAGGACATTGCTGTATGTGAATGATCTTATCATCATCTTATCATGTTTACTAATGGTTGTCTTTGTTTCCAGTGTTTCATTTTGAAGTCAAGTTGGAAGTTAACAAATGATGTTGTGTTATTTGCTATCATAATGCACTGGTTTGTATATCTATGTTGTTTTCATTAGAGTTCTATTGTTTTTAGCTACAGACTACTTTGAGATGAATGCTTTTTAAATGTCATGCTCATCAGTAATGCAGAATTCAATCAGATGTATTTCAGTCTGCATAAAGAGTAGCCTAGGCCAGACTCTATTGATCACAAGGTGGGAGATTTTGATCACAAAGCCCATAGGTAATTGCTGTTTACTGCACGTTTGATCTTAAGGATTTTTACTTGTCAATGTTTTAGGGATCTATGTGTGTGTGAGTTAGTGTGAGTGTGTGTGAGTTTTCTATACAGTCTGCCTCATTGCTGCCAAATAAGCTTGCTGTTTCACAAATTACTATCACTGAATTCTGAATTTTGCATTCTATCAATTCATCTTCACTTAAGCCTAGAATCCGTAAGTAAAGCTTTTTTCATGTTCCACTAAAATATGCAATGAATAATTCCCTCACATTATCTTCTCATGTGATACAGGCTGATGAAGGTTAAATTACCTTGGTTGTGCTGCTGACATCTAATTAACTATCAAGACAGGGCTCTATGGAATAGATTTCATCTGTGACACAGAAATATTTTAGTATGGTTGGCGAGAAAAATACTTAGTCTCTCTCCAAATAATAAACAAGGGTTGACTTTTCATTCACCTCCTTCTGGGCAATCTGTTGTTTTCCAAGTTATTGGCGTTTTGTGCTGCATCGAGTTTGTGATGGGAGCGATGCTGCTCCCCTCCTCCCACAAATCAAACCATTTGCTCCTGAGAGTGTCTTGTAATCCTAAACAAACAGTAAGCACTAACATTTCCCACTTATAGTCAGTACACACACACAAACACAGACACACACACAAGCATACATACACACACACACACACACACACACAGCAAGAGAGTGCTGAATAGTTTTTAAAAGTGCTTGCGTGTCATAATGAGCCACACGTCACTTTACAGTCTTGTCATTGATTAGCACGCCTGATCATCCATGTTTTTCAATAATTACACTGTCTCATTGGTGTAAATGAATGCAATCAAAAGAAGAAAAAAAGTGCAGCAAAATTAAGATAAGATTACAGAGAGACTGTTGTCGTCAGGGTTTCCAACAGCCAGTTTTCCTCACAGCTGATAAGAAACATTACAAAATCATGTTTCGAAGGCAGTAAGATTCAATGTGCACTTTGGCAGAATTGGGCAAAAGATCAAGCTGAATAACCTGTTGATAATTGATATCGCATTTTGTACAAATTTATGTAATCTAATCTAATTGAAAGTAGGATCAAAATGCTCCATCTCTTTGATTAATGCAGAGGCGGTTATCTTTAATCAGCACTTGTCTGGGCAGGGAGGGGAGGAGGCGTTAGTGGGAATCCAATTTGGACTTGGTGCATTCAATCAAACAATATCATGTTGCATGATTCATAAGACCAATCTGAGACTCTGCGAGAACTCTGTGTGCATCTACCTGAATTTGGCATGGTCTTAAATGTGCAATAAAAGCATAAATGTAACATTTACGTCGCTGTGCAGTCATACATTCTCTGTTAGTGCTGTTTGTAGACCGATAACCTTGTTTTGCAGGCATGTGTGAGGCAGCTCTATATGATGCATGTTGGTGTTACTGCTGACACTGCTGTTGACTCTCATAAGCGCAGGTGTCCGGGGGCTAGTGGCCTGGGGGGGGGGCCCTTGATTCCACACCTTTTACTCTGCACAATTGGATGCAGCGTGAAGCACTGCAGCCTGGTGGCCTTGATGGCACTGGAAGAAATATGGACGAGGTCAGCAGCACTTTCACATCCGCTGCACTTCTTCATGCTGACTTTGTGTTGATACAGGAATATCACACAGTTCACACTCCGCTCCCACATACTGTAATTCAGAATTCAGTCCTTTCTGCTGAAAGCCAAATATAGATGACAATATTCAGTGACACACATGCACATAGCCTCTTTCCTTTGAATTCATGCGCTGCTTATGCAAATTTACAGAGGCACAGATGCAGTATTTCAAATGACACTCAGTATTCGATCAGTGGGCAAGAATGTATTCTCTTGGCATAAACACACATATTTGGACCACTCTCAACTTTTGGCTTATTACCTTGTCATTGGCAATTCGAAGCATGTCAAAGGTTGCTGTAACAAATTAGACACTGGGAAGGAGAAACCTAGTCCTCAAAGCTATTATCAATTCCAATCAAGCTTCATTGTTATGCATTCAATAAAAGATCTCCAAGGAGCACAGTAATGCTCTAATTATTCTCCTCTTCTGCAAAATCGGCTCATTCAATCTTTTATGCCACTCGAACAATGTAGCCAAACAGAGCCATGCATGTATTCGGGTGCACATACATGTGTGTGAATGTATGATGTGTATCTATGCTGTGCATGTGTTAATCATATCTGGCTACTTTGAGTTGTCTCTGGCTTTCGCAAGTATTTTATTGCAAAGTCCCAGCATGTGATCGACCACAAATGTAATGCATGACATGTTTTAGACAAGAATATTAGGTAATTAACTAGGAACAAAATCGTAACGATAAAAAGGATCTCATTATTTTGTATTGTATGCAAAGTGACAAACAGTGACAGACACACGCAAGCACATTTCCACTGAGCGTTCTCTCTGTAATTTCTTGTGAAAAGAAATGTCAGTAAAGCAGCTTGGTGCCACCCTCTTGTCGATAAATAAAGGCGAAATGACGCTTCGCGAGCTCAGGCAGCAGCTTTGGCAGCGTCTACTGAGTCACAGGGCTCATACAAGTCCGTGTCTCCCCCAATTTAGAGATTTCAGTTTTTTGCTAGGGGCCACATGTGCCTGCTGTGTGCTTGTGTGCCACGCAGATCTAATAGTGATTGATTGCCTGATTAAGGCAAATTGTATTGAACTTCAGAGCAACCCAAGGAGAGAATCGAGCTTCTTTGGTTAGTGATGCAATAACAGTGTGGCTATTGATTTTTAATGGCACATGTCGGCAAAAAGGCAGTTGTCTCAATTATTCATTGTTCACTTGTTATCTTCTTTTTCTTCCAATTCAAGTGTAAGCCATACACAACATTTCACATGGAAATAATTTTTTGGGTTACTGTATGTGCAAATCACTTCAATTCAGACCTGTACAAAAGAATATAAAACTGAAACATTAAGAACAGAAACAGAACAGTATGTTTTATTCAGATTTGAAGTATGTATTGTACATGTGAGATTGCAGAAATAATATGGCAGTCTACAAAGTCAATTACATTATGTATTACAACGTGAAAATGTGTCTGTATTAACGCTGGTTGAGTTGCTCCGAGACGCTTTATTAAATAGTTTCATCAACCATACATGAAATGCCGTGGTGAGTCTGTCAAGTGCTCACACACGCACTCACACTCATGAACTGACAATGCCTACAAGTAAACACATTTTTTGTGCAGAGCCATGTGTACGTCAATGTATCAACTAAATACAGAAGCATAATGTGCATAACAAGAAAACATTGCCTCAATGCCAAGCCCATCTGTGCTGTTATCCACAAGAGCAAAATCGACCAAACCATCATCGCAGCTCCCAGTGTGCAACATTCCCAACATCAACTTCCAAAATGCAGTACACATGTCTAAGGAGCTTCTTGCAGCCTCAGTGCATCTTTGGTGTCTTCAGTATTTGCAGCTCGAAATGTATTCCCCCTTATCACTATTGATCTGTGAGAAGACAAGGTCTCTGGTCCTGACAGCCTGGCCTGCCTGATCGAGGGCTGGACCAACAGCCTGTCTGAGGCAGGAGGCGGGATGGATTTATATGAAGGCGGATTCTGCCGCCGACCCCCCCACCTCTACATTCTTCTGTCTCACACTGGGCTTTCTTATCGAGAGCCTAATTTTGGAGGCAGTCAAGGAATGAGCCACTGTTTTTTTGCAATCACAGAGGTAATGAGATTATAGGTTACTTCAATAAATGCTTGATGTCTTTTGGTTACCCTAATGTGTTCACCTGGGAGAGTTTAGTTTTCACATTTATTAGATTTCCTTCCTGCAAAAGGCAC